GAGATTTTGGGAAATGTTGAGTGAATGCGTGGGGAGTTTTGAACCAAGTGTGAGAGTAATGGTTGTCTAGGGCAATTGGTGTAAATTGCTGGCTAGACAGATACTGCAAGGAACTTGCAATCCCATTCATTGACAACTGGAACAACTTTTATGGCAAACATGATATGTATGCAAGGGATGGGGTACATCTCTCTGGGGCTGGGGTGGTAGCACTTGCAAACTCAATTGAGAAGGCCATTGGTGAAATGCCTATGATTTTAAACTGATAGAAGATAGAGGTATGGGTGTGTGTGGGAAACAAGCAGGTTGCAACACTAGGGTTGGAATCAGTAAATGTTTAAAAGGCATTCAGCATGAAGTTATAAATAAAGACAATAGATCAGGTCAGCAAACAAAGGGGGACAGCAGAGGACAGCAAGGGACTAGCTCCCTTAAGGTTTACTATACTAATAGCAGGAGTGTAAGAAATAAGATAGATGAGCTAAGATTAATTGCAAGTGCAGGAAACATAGATATTATTGCTATAACAGAGACCTGGCTCAATCTGAAAGATAGAGAGATGCCCTCTGAATGTCACATACAAGGCTATAAATTATTCCACACTGACAGGGTCAACAGGAAGGGTGGTGGAGTAGCGATGTATGTCAGAGACAATTTAAATTGTTGTGTTAGACAAGATATAAAAGTAGAAGCGTCAGCCACTGAATCTGTTTGGTTACAGCTTCTCGAGGGCCGAGAAAAACTAATTTTGGGTGTGATTTACAGGGCCCCAAATTTTGAAAGGGAGTGCAGTAAACTTCTATGGGACGAAATTCCTAAGGCATCTACATACGAAAATGTTGTGGTAATGGGAGATTTCAACTATAGACAGATTGACTGGAGCAATTTGACAGGAAATTTAGAGTCAGGTGACTTTCTTGATACGATCCAGGATTGTTTTTTAAAACAGTTTGTGACAGAGCCAACTAGGGGAAATAACCTCCTTGACTTGGTTCTTGCCAGTAGGGAAACACTAATTAATAATCTTGAGGTTAATGATGAGCTTGGGGAAAGTGATCACAAATCACTCAGTTTTAATATATCATGGAATTCCCCTAATAATGGCAATCAAGTCTCCGTCCCTGACTTTCGCTTGGCTGATTTCATAGGAATGAAAAATTACTTAGGTGGGCTGAACTGGAATGACCTGACTAAGGGTCAGGTAAGTGGTGATGGTTGCCGATATGATGCTTTCCAGGGCATAGTTCTAGCTGCTCAGTCAAATTATGTTCCAAATAGGGAAATCAGATCAAACAAAAATGATCCTAATGGATGAACAATAGATTAAAATATCTGATTGGTCAAAAGAGAGGCATATATAGGCAAATCAAAAGAGGAGAGGGGCAATTAAGAAATCGATATATTCAGTTAAAGAGAGAAATAAAAAAGGGAATTAGAAAAGCAAAAAGAGATTATGAGGTTAAAGTTGCAAGAGAATCGAAGACTAACCCAAAAGGATTCTTTCAGGTATACAGAAGTAAGATCAGGGACAAGATAGGCCCACTCAAAAGTTCCTCGGGTCAGTTCACTGACAGTGATAAGGAAATGTGTAGAATTTTTAACACATACTTCCTCTCAGTTTTTACACAGGAGGATACCAGCGATATTCCAGTAATGATAAATTATGTAGAACAGGACGATAATAAACTGTGCACGATTAGGGTCACAAGTGACATGGTCCTTAGGCAAATAGATAAATTAAAACCTAACAAATCCCCAGGCCCTGATGAACTGTATGAAAGGGTTCTAAAGGAATGTAAAGAGGAGCTTAGCACACCTTTGGCTAATCTTTTCAACATATCACTACAAACTGGCATGGTGCCAGATAAGTGGAAAATGGCAAATGTGATACCTATTTTCAAAGCAGGTGACAGGTCCTTAGCTTCGAACTATAGACCAATAAGCCTAACCTCCATAGTGGGAAAATTTATGGAATCAATAATTGCCGAGGCAGTTCGTAGCCACCTTGAAAAGCATAAATTAATCAACGAATCTCAGCATGGTTTTACAAAGGGGCGTTCCTGCCTTACGAATTTATTAACTTTTTTCACTAAGGTATTTGAGGAGGTAGATCATGGTAATGAATATGATATTGTGTATATGGACTTCAGTAAGGCTTTTGACAGGGTCCCACATCAGAGACTATTGAGGAAAATTAAGGCACATGGAATAGGAGGAAAATTTTTTTCCTGGATAGAGGCATGGTTGACAAATAGGCAGCAGAGAGTTTGCATAAATGGGGAGAAATCAGAGTGGGGAAGCGTCACGAGCGGTGTTCCACAGGGGTCAGTGTTGGGCCCCCTGCTGTTCACAATCTACATAAACGACATAGATGAGGGCATAAAAAGCGACATCGGCAAGTTTGCTGATGACACCAAAATAGGCCGTCGAATTCATTCTGACGAGGACATTAGAGCACTCCAGGAAGATTTGAATAGACTGATGCAGTGGTCGGAGAAGTGGCAGATGCAGTTTAATATAGACAAATCCAAAGTTCTAAATGTTGGACAGGACAATAACCATGCCACATATAAACTAAATAATGTAGATCTTAATATTACGGATTGCGAAAAAGATTTAGGAGTTCTGGTTAGCAGTAATCTGAAACCAAGACAACAGTGCATAAGTGTTCGCAATAAAGCTAATAGAATCCTTGGCTTCATATCAAGAAGCATAAATAATAGGAGTCCTCAGGTTGTTCTTCAACTCTATACATCCTTGGTTAGGCCTCATTTAGATTATGCTGCACAGTTTTGGTCACCGTATTACAGAATGGATATAAATTCTCTGGAAAATGTACAAAGGAGGATGACAAAGTTGATCCCATGTATCAGAAACCTTCCCTATGAGGACAGACTAAGGGCCCTGAATCTGCACTCTCTAGAAAGACGTAGAATTAGGGGGGATATGATTGAGGTGTATAAATGGAAGACAGGAATAAATAAAGGGGATGTAAATAGTGTGCTGAAAATATCTAGCCTAGACAGGACTCGCAGCAATGGTTTTTAAGTTGGAAAAATTCAGATTCAGGAAGGATATAGGAAAGTACTGGTTTGGTAATAGAGTTGTGGATGAGTGGAACAAACTCCCGAGTACAGTTATAGAGGCCAGAACGTTGTGTAGCTTTAAAAATAGGTTGGATAAATACATGAGTGGATGTGGGTGGGTGTGAGTTGGACCTGATAGCTTGTGCTACCAGGTCGGTTGCCGTGTTCCTCCCTTAAGTCAATGTGACCTGACCTGACTAGGTTGGGTGCATTGGCTTAAGCCGGTAGGAGACTTGGACCTGCCTCGCATGGGCCAGTAGGCCTTCTGCAGTGTTCCTTCGTTCTTATGTTCTTCTTATGTTCTTAACTATGGTAGTAACTATGGTAGTCACTATAGTAGTAACTATGGTAGTGAATAGGTAGTAACTATGGTAGTCCCTGTGGTAGTAACTATGGTGGTAACTATGGTAGTCACTAGGTAGTAACTATGGTAGTCACTACAGTAGTAACTATAGTAGTGAATAGGTTGTAGCTATGGTAGTCCCTGTGGTAATAACTATGGTGGTAACTATGGTAGTAACTATGGTAGTAACTATGGTAGTCACTATAGTAGTAACTATGGTAGTGAATAGGTAGTAACTATAGTAGTCCCTGTGGTAGTAACTATGGTGGTAACTATGGTAGTCACTATGGTAGTCACTAGGTAGTACCTATGGTAGTCACTATGGCAGTAACTATGGTAGTGACTGGGATCTTACAAAACCCTGGAAGCTGACGGTTCGGACGGCGTCCAGGTCTTCGTCTTTCCAAGTAAGTCTTCAGCTGTAACTCTTCACTATCCTGGGAAATAGTGACTTTGGAGCATTTGGAGAAGATTATAGATGATGGAAGGTGTGGGTGGTGGTGATGGGTGTGGGTGGTGGTGATGAGTGTGGGTGGTGGTGATGAGTGTGGGAGGTGGTGGATGTGGGTGGTGGTTGTGGGTGTGAGTGGTGGTGGTGGGTGTCAATGGTGGTGGTGGGTGTGAGTGGTGGTGGTGGGTGTCAATGGTGGTGGTGGGTGTGAGTGGTGGTGGTGGGTGTCAATGGTGGTGGTGGGTGTGAGTGGTGGTGGTGGGTGTGAGTAGTGGTGGGTGTGTGGTGGTGGCGGTTAGAGTTATTGGTGGTAGTGGTTGTGGTTGTGGTGTTGGTACTTGTGGGTGGTGTTTGTTGTTTGGGGTGGTCGTTGTTGTGAATTGTGGTGATTGGCAGTGGTTGTAGGTAGTTGAGGTTGTTGAATTCTCATATGGGTGCTGGAGACTGATGTCTGGGAACCTCGGTACTTCACAACTTGTGCTACTAGATGAGGACTCTACACAGGCGCTGTATGTTCTAGGGCTGGTCTTCTTACGAGTGTGTTCAACAACGGTCCGAACGATTCCACATTCTGGATTTGAAGTCCAGTCTTATGTTTTCTTGTTTGGTGGATGTTGATGTTATGTTGGCTCGCTGTGTGCTGTGTGAGACAGGTTGGTAATACTGTCCCTGACAGGTCTGTTTTGCACAGGTCCATCACTTGCTCCTGGCCCAGGTAGTTGTACACTCTCCTGTCTCATCTGTCCTTTCTCTATCGATGTTTACTAATTATATGAAGAATGTTTTTATTTTTCTATTTGTGTAGAAACGTTCATTTTTTAAGCTCCTCGTATATTTATCGCTTTCCGCGAGTAGTTCAACTCTTTATCTCACCTTGTGACGTGTTTTTAGTTTTTAACTTTCTTCTGATGTGGCTGTGGAGCAGTCTGAGTTAAATTTACTTTGGTTGCTATGATCTTCTGGAACTGTATTTATGTTTCCCTGTTAATTTTATTGTGTTCATTCGTGTCTCCCCAGCTTATGTTTCAGTGTTCATAGTGTTAGTGCTGTTCCATACTTTTTTTATGTTCTGGTTCTGAATTTTGTGTCCTTATACTGGGGAGTTAAACATTCTTTACAGAGCGTATTTATTCATGCTTCTTCCCTAGCACTTGTAGCTCTGAGTCAGAAGAGGCAATTGAACATCTATTAAAAGATCCTCGCTTCTGTAAGGATGTTACAGTTCATCTTAGCTCATGCTTAGGGAGAACACTAGACGCAGTCTTCCTGGTTTGTCAGACTCCTGGTTTGTCAGACTCCTGGTTTGTCAGACTCCTGGTTTGTCAGACTCCTGGTTTGTCAGACTCCTGGTTTGTCAGACTCCTGGTTTGTCAGACTCCTGGTTTGTCAGACTCCTCCCTCAGTGTAGTACAGACGCTTTACTCTCCATGTTTCCGGGATCACGATGTAAGTCATTATTTTTCCTGTTTATCTTCTCATAGTTCAGATCATCAATAATCACAAGCGTCGCCTCTGTTGTCTATGCTGTTTATAGATAATTTTGCTCCGTTGTCAGAGGGTTGTTTATAACAACAAAAATTATTTTGTCATGGCAGTTACAGTTCGTTACGTTGTAGTTTATGAATTCTATAACATTTGGGAATTTAATCTCAAATTTCCAGTATTTTTTGTTCATTAATGATACGCTCTTCCCTATCTCTCTTCTTTCTCCATTACTAGTTAACTGATACAAACAGTGACATGTGTTCTCATGTCTGTTAATTCAATCTGTGTCAGCGCGCAGGAGTGTACACACACATTTATCTGCTTACGTAAGCATTCCGTCTTCATAAAACCTGCGCAAACAGGTTTATGTATGTACACGTACATCACTCCAACACTAGGACTTGCGCACACCGCCCGCGACACCTTGCTGCCTAGCACCCGACCACTTCATTAATTCTCACCTTGACATTCCTTCACGAGTGGAATGAACATACCTCCTCCTCCTCCTCCTAGACAAGTTAGTTCAGGTAAGATCCGTCAGGAAACAGAACAAGTGTTTCCTGACACGATTCTCAGTCACATGATGACCCGCCACAGGAACTTTAGGTCATCTGACCGAGGATTTGCTGCGTTACTGGTCCATTCCTTTAAAAATGATAGTTAACAAGCTACTTTCGACTTGTGACTGACTGACTGACGACTTTCTTATGTAGTGTCTTAATTAATGTACCAGAGATCACGAGACAATAACTCAGTTATTGTATCCAATAACTTGAAAATGAAAGAAAGTAGGTGTTTAATAACGTGTGTGTGTGTGTGTGTGTGTGTGTGTGTGTGTGTGTGTGTGTGTGTGTGTGTGTGTGTGTGTGTGTGTGTGTGTGTGTGTGTGCGCCTGTATTTACCAATCTGTGGTCGCAGGGGTCGAATCACAGCTCCTGGCCCCTCCTCTTCGCTGGCGCTACTAGGTCATTCTTCCTGCTCCATGAGCTTTATTATACCTCCTCTTAAAGCTATATATGGATCCTGCCTCCACTACATCACTCTCCAGATTCTTCCATTTCCCGACAACTCTGTGACTGAAGAAATACTTCCTAGCATCCCTGTGGTTCATCTGAGTTTTCAACTTCCAACTTTGACAACTTGTTGCTGTGTCCCATCTCTGGAACATCCTGTCTCTGGTCACCTTGTCGATTCCTCTCAGTATTTTATATGTCGTTATCATATCCCCGGTATCTCTCCTGTCCTCCAGTGTCGTCAGGAAGATTTCACTTAACCTCTCCTCGTAGGACATATCCCTTAGCTCCGGGGCTAGTCTTGTTGCAAACCTTTGCACTTTCTCTAGTTTCCTTACGTGCTTGACTAGGTGTGGGTTCCAAATTGGTGCCGCATACTCCAATATGGGCCTAACGTACACGGTGTACAGGGTCCTGAACGATTCCTTATTAAGATGTCGGAAGGCTGTTCTTAGGTTTGCTAGGCGCCCATATGCTGCAGCAGTTATTTGGTTGATGTGCGCCTCAGGAGATGTGCCTGGTGTTATACTCACCCCAAGATCTTTTTCTTTGCCCTTCCCAATCTTCATAACTTTGCACTTGGTGGGGGTTGAACTCCAGGAGCCAGTTTCTGGACAAGGCCTGCAGCCTATTCTGATCCCTTTGTAGTTCTTCCTGGTCCTCGTCCGATTGAATTCTTCTCATTAGCTTCACATCATCTGCAAACAGGGACACCTCGGAGTCTATTCCTTCCGTCATGTCGTTCACAAATACCAGAAACAGCACCGGTCCTAGGACTAACCCCTGTGGAACCCCGGTCGTCACAGGCGCCCATTCTGACACCTCGACACGTACCATTGTCTTCCTGACAGGTATTCTCCGATCCATTGCAGTGCCTTCCCTGTTATCCCTGCCTGGTACTCCAGCTTTTACACTAATCTCTTGTGTGGAACTGTGTCAAACGCCTTCTTACAGTCCAAGAAAATGCAATCTACCCACCCCTCTCTCTATTGTCTTACTGCTGTCACCCTGTCATAGAACTCCAGCAGGTTTTTGACACATGATTTCCCGTCCCTGAAACCATGCTGGCTGTCGTTGATATGCTCATTCCTTTCTAGGTGTTCCACCACTCTTCTCCTGATAATCTCCATGACTTTGCATACTATACATGTCAGTGACACTGGTCTGTAGTTTAATGCTTCCTGTCTCTCTCTCCTTTTTTTAAAAATTGGGACTGCAGTTGCTGCCTTTCATACCTCAGGCAGTCGCCCTGTTTCGATAGATGTGTTGAAGATTGGTGTTAGGGGTACACATAGCGCCTCTGCTCCCTCTCTCAGGACCCATGGAGAGATGTTATCCAGACCATCGCCTTTGAGGTGTCTAGCTCGCTTAGCAGCCTTTGCACTTCTTCCTCGGTTGTATGTATTGTGTCCAACATTTGATGGTGTACCCACCTCTCCATTCTTCTGGAGTCCCTTTTGTCTCCTCCTTGAACACTTCTTTGAATCTCGTGTTGAGCTCCTCACATACTTCGTGGTCGTTTCTTGTGATCTCGCCTCCTTCCTTCCTCAGAATGATTACCTGGTTCTTGACTGTTGTTTTCTTCCTAATGTAGCTGTACAGCAGCTTTGGGTCAGATTTGGCTTTCGCTAACATGTCATTTTCTCATTGTCGTTGGGCCTCCCTGCTTACCTATGCACATTCATTTCTGGCCCTATGATTTCTTCCCTTATTCTCCTGGGTCCTTTGCCTTCTATACTTCTTCCATTCTCTAGCAAAAATCGTTTTGGCCTCTTTACACTTTTGGGTGAACTAAGGACTCATAATGGCGTTCTCGTGATTTCTGTTACCCTTGGGTACAAACCTCTCCTCAGCTTCCTTGCATATTGTTGTCAAATATTCCATCTTGTTTACTGATTTCCCTGCCAGTTCTCTGTACCACTGAACCCAGTGCAAGAAATTCTTCATGCATGTGTAGTCCCCTCTCATGTAATTTGGCTTCATTTGGCCTGCCCTTCCTACTTTCCTCTCCACTTGTAACTCTACTATGTATTCGAAGCTCAGAACCACGTGATCATTGGCTCCGAAGGGTCTTTCATATGTGATGTCCTCAATATCTGCACTATTCAAGGTGAATACTAGGCCCAGTCTTGCTGGTTCATCCTCTCCTCTCTCTCTGGTAGTGTTCTTTACGTGTTGGTACATGAGGTTTTTCAGTACCACCTCCATCATCTTAGCCCTCCACTTTTCTGGGCCCCCATGTGGCTCCAGGTTCTCCCAGTCGATTTCCTTGTGCGTGATGAATGGTTTGAAAAACCGACAAGTTGAAGATTGAGACACTTATGCAGCATATGGGAATCTTTATTCAGGAAACGTTTCGCCACACAGTGGCTTCATCAGTCCAATACAAAGAGGAAGGTGTAAGGAGAGGAGGAGAATGAGGTAATCAGTCCCTCAACCTGGAGTCGATGTGTTCAGTCCATCAATCTTGTAGAATGTACAGCATAGGGCCGTAGACGTGGCTTATATACTGTAGTGAGGTGAGGTGAAGCAGGTGGAGGCGGGGTCATAGTGGTACCATCCACTAGTCGAAGTAGGTCTTCGTCGAAAGGTTGAACAAGTGTTGAAGAATTCTTTGTAACAAGATCCCATGATGCTGCAGTGTCTGACAGTTGTGATGAATGGTTTGAAAAACCGACAAGTTGAAGATTGAGACACTTATGCAGCATATGGGAATCTTTATTCAGGAAACGTTTCGCCACACAGTGGCTTCATCAGTCCAATACAAAGAGGAAGGTGTAAGGAGAGGAGGAGAATGAGGTAATCAGTCCCTCAACCTGGAGTCGATGTGTTCAGTCCATCAATCTTGTAGAATCTACAGCATAGGGCCGTAGACGTGGCTTATATACTGTAGTGAGGTGAGGTGAAGCAGGTGGAGGCGGGGTCATAGTGGTACCATCCACTAGTCGAAGTAGGTCTTCGTCCAAAGGTTGAACAAGTGTTGAAGAATTCTTTGTAACAAGATCCCATGATGCTGCAGTGTCTGACAGTTGTGATGAATGGTTTGAAAAACTAGTGGATGGTACCACTATGACCCCGCCTCCACCTGCTTCACCTCACCTCACTACAATATATAAGCCACGTCTACGGCCCTATGCTGTACATTCTACAAGATTGATGGACTGAACACATCGACTCCAGGTTGAGGGACTGATTACCTCATTCTCCTCCTCTCCTTACACCTTCCTCTTTGTATTGGACTGATGAAGCCACTGTGTGGTGAAACGTTTCCTGAATAAAGATTCCCATATGCTGCATAAGTGTCTCAATCTTCAACTTGTCGGTTTTTCAAACCATTCATCACAACTGTCAGACACTGCAGCATCATGGGATCTTGTTACAAAGAATTCTTCAACACTTGTTCAACCTTTCGACGAAGACCTACTTCGACTAGTGGATGGTACCACTATGATCCCGCCTCCACCTGCTTCACCTCACCTCACTACAGTATATAAGCCACGTCTACGGCCCTATGCTGTACATTCTACAAGATTGATGGACTGAACACATCGACTCCAGGTTGAGGGACTGATTACCTCATTCTCCTCCTCTCCTTACACCTTCCTCTTTGTATTGGACTGATGAAGCCACTGTGTGGCGAAACGTTTCCTGAATAAAGATTCCCATATGCTGCATAAGTGTCTCAATCTTCAACTTGTCGGTTTTTCAAACCATTCATCACAACTGTCAGACACTGCAGCATCATGGGATCTTGTTACAAAGAATTCTTCAACACTTGTTCAACCTTTCGACGAAGACCTACTTCGACTAGTGGATGGTACCACTATGACCCCGCCTCCACCTGCTTCACCTCACCTCACTACAGTATATAAGCCACGTCTACGGCCCTATGCTGTACATTCTACAAGATTGATGGACTGAACACATCGACTCCAGGTTGAGGGACTGATTACCTCATTCTCCTCCTCTCCTTACACCTTCCTCTTTGTATTGGACTGATGAAGCCACTGTGTGGCGAAACGTTTCCTGAATAATGATTCCCATATGCTGCATAAGTGTCTCAATCTTCGATTTCCTTGTGGTTGAAGTCACCCATAATCAGCAGCGTTGCCCTGCTTGCATGAGCCCTTCTGGCCACTTCAGTCAGTGTGTTAACCATTGCTCTATTACTCTCATCATACTCTTGCCTTGGCCTCCTGCTGTTCTGTGGTGGGTTATACACCACTGCAATTACCACCTTGGGACCTCCAGACTAAAGTGTTCCTTTTATGTAGTCTCTTGCTTCTCCTCTGTCTCCTCTCTCCAGCTCATCAAAATCCCATCAGTGTTTGATGAGCAATGCCACTCCTCCACCCCCTCTGTTCCCTCTGTCTTTTCTCAGGATCTGATAGCCCACTGGAAAGATGGCATCTGCTATCATTTCTGTGAGAGCTATGATGTCCGGTGATGCCTCTTTGACTCTTTCGTGCCACTCCTCTCACTTATTTGTTATTCCATCAGCAGTGGTGCACCATACCTTCAGTTTCCTCTCCAACACTGTGTTCAGGGGGGTCAGTGAGGGTGGGGGACCTTGCAGTGTGCTGTGGGATTCTACAGTGTAGTGTAGGTTGGGGGCTGTAAGTGTGGATTGTGGTTTGTGTTGGGATAGCATGTGTGGCTGTGGGGTTCTAGGGGTGGTTCTGTTTGTGCCTGCACTTGTTGCTCTGCCCTGCACTGGTTATCCTATGCTGATTCTGTCCTTGTCTCTCTTCCTAGCCACTTTCGCTTTTGTGCCCTCTCCCTAGCCACTTTCGCTTTTGTGCCCTCTCCTTCAGCTGCTGTCATTCTGATCTTGTTCTGTCTCCGTCTAGGAACACTCTCCTGTATGTTGACAATTCCTTCAGTCATGGTTTCTCTTGCAGGATCCTGTTTCACACTGTTTCTGTCTTGAAAATCAGCTTGACCATCCAGTTTCTCCCCTTCAAGTACCCCCCTATTCTCTGAAAATTTAATAACTCAGTCATGTTTGTGAGGATCGGGTCACATCTCCTGGTCCCGCCTCTTAAACCACAATCGCTGGCATTGTTGGTTCCTAGCTTCCAGGGTTCTATTATACCTTCTCTTGAAACAGTGTATTGAGATTTCTTTTACCACTTCGTCGTCTAGCTCATTCCATTTATTTACCATCCTAAAGCTGGAAAAGTATTTCCTAACATTCCTCAGGCTGAGGGACTGAACACTTCAAAACTAGGTCTTCAAGGGTGATGTACTGATTACATCGTCTTTACATCTCTACTGCTTTTACCTCCTATTGTGTAGGCGAAAAGTTTCGGAATGAAGATACATAACTGTTGCACATGTGTCTTATCCACCTATTTCCTGACTACGTTTTCCAATACTTAGGACAGTATACATGTCAGGGATACTAGTCTATAATTCAGTGCCTCTTGTCTGTCCTGCTGCTTGTATACTGGGGTCACTTTTGCAGTTTTACAGTTGTCTGTTATGTTTCCTGCTCCAGGATCATGTTGTACAGTGGATCATTACTATAGGTTCACACAGGTCTTCCTCTCCTTCTTTCAGTATCCATGGTGACTTGCCATCAAGCCCCATGACTTCTGATGTATCTAACTCTTTCTGCAGATTCATTATTTTCTCCTGTGATACATGAAATCCATCCACAGGGATGGAAAGGGATAATAACCATATATATGGTTATTATCCCTTTCAACCCTGTGTTCTGGCACCATCTACATTTCCTCATTGAATAATTCCTTAAGGGGCACGTAAGTTACCCCGTCATGTTCATTTTTCCACTATACTCCACCTTGTCCATAATTATTATCGCATTTGCTTTGTTTCGTAAGGTGAAGTCCAGGATCTTTCTTTAATTCATGGTGTAACTTAACAAATCTTTGAGGACAATTGTGTTGCAGGGGTCAAGATGTCAGCAAGACATCCTATTAGTGCAAATGTTCCACAGGGAAGTGTCTTTGGGCCATTGTTATGAAATGTCCACTTCAATGACCTGCTTCATCTCATCCCATGTATATGCAAACAACTGTACTCTGAAATTTACTTATCCAAGAGAGGAAAGTCGCTATAAGTTACATCAATCACCAGATTACAGTTATATCAGCCTGTGGTAAACTGTGACAGGTGACATTTGCTCCTGAGAAGACACAAATGATGATGGTCTCTAGGCACCATGATGGTAGCGCTGGAGCAGTGGTAAGTATGAATGGAAGAGTGTTGGTACCTGGGGACGAAGCTAATAAACAAGGGGTGAAATTTTACTCCAATCTGACCATGAAGAATCATTGTAAATCTTGAAAGCAAGGCGGCCAGGAAGCTTAAAGCACTTCAATTCTGTACGAGACACAAGTACACTCACACTTTGAGTATGCTCCACTTTCTTGGATTGCCTGCCCTTCGTTTCATCGGCGACTTCTTGACAGAATAGCGAAAAGAACAAAACAGTTCATCATTCGTCTGGATTCAGCCTGGATAGATCTGTCATTTCAGCAGAGAGAGGGATGTGGGTGGCCTTACTGTTCTCTACAGGGCCAATATTGTCAAAGTACCACACTTGGCAAGATTCTGAGGACAACGAGAAGTAAGCTTGTACACAACAAGACGGGCAGCAAGCAGCAACTTCACTCTGACTGTACCCTTCTCCAGAGAGAGAAAGACAAGTGGCCCGTGGCCTGGTAGGTAACGCTCTTGCTTCACATGCTGAATGTCCGTGGTTCCATTCCCTACATGGGTGAAAACATTGAGCGTGTTTCCTTACACCTGTTGTCCCGTTCACCTAACAAGCAAGTAGGTACCTGGGTATTAGTCGACTGGTATGGGTCGCATTCTGGGGGACAAGACTGAGAACCCCAATGGAAATAAGACAAGCAGTCCCTCGATGACGCACTGCCTTTCTTGGGTTATCCTGGGTGGCTAACCCTCCGGGGTTAAAAATCCGAAAGAAATCATATCTTAACCAACGTGTGGAGGAAACTACAGAGCTGCTGTGGACATTCCAACACACGCTCTGTGGTGTAAACAGACCCAATGAGTCCACAAACTTACAGGATATGAACACAGCGTCACTACCAAGCAGAGTTTTTGCACCCAAAAACCCATTCAAGCTTATTCTTAGTCGACTTGTTGGTTCAATATTGGATAAAGTAAGAATTTCACAAATATGTTTGAACGTCACCAGCGCTTGTCTGTACTAGACTACAGCGTTACTAACCATCCTGGCTTACTAATCCAGTTGAAGACTTCTTCTTGCCCTGGTTTGGGTGAAACATACTGGATCAATACACATGTTTATATAATGCGTGATATGAGAAGTGTACAGTGTGGGGAAGAGACTCTGAGAGACTTGCCAACTTAA